TACTTAATGTCTTAATTTCAAACACTCTTCTTTATTATAATGAGACTGTCCAACCACAGGTTGGTGTATACAGTACATTGTGGACCTACAGAGCCCTTTCTCCCTCCTAATTTTTGAACGGGACAAACCTCGGGACAAACTATAGCAAGGTCGGGTAAAATTCAGTTAAAAAGGTTCCTCCTTTACTACTTTTTGCGACTTGACCTATAGTGTCGGGTGGAAACCATCAACTTTTTTCCAAATGTATAAGATCACGTGGTACCCTCGGTGGTACCTTGTTCTGGAGACTTTTCGATTCTGTATCCCAAAACCCAATCAGGTGTATACAGGGTGTTTCATTACTTATTGAAAATATTTCAAGTATAGAATCCTGAGCTCAAAGTCCGAAGAGTGATTCCCCTCGAGTAAACCCCAAATCACCTAGATGAAATGTGTCACGATGTTTTACTTGAAAACGAGGGGGAGACCACCTCTGAAAAATATGTACACGTATTGCGGAAATCCCATGATTTCAGCGATTTCAGAGAATTCTTTGTAAATTGTTGCGATTTCGGAGGATTGCGAACTGAATTCAGTGATTGCAGAGTGATTGCAGGGGCTGCAACGGGATTGTGAAATTATATTGAGGATTGCGAGACGATTTCCGCGATTGTGGGTTCATTTGCTAGCTTGATTGCAATGGTGAATTTCTGAAATTAGAGATTATATGTGATTTAGTTCAATTACCACATAGGTAATCCTCTCGAATTGTAGAGCATCTACCTAATTATTCAAGCATGACGGATTATACAACCAAATAAAGTATAAACATAACTGAAGAAAATTTGGAATTATTGAAAAACCATTTTGTCTCATATAAACATTTTTATTATTCTTTCAACTCTGGTGTTTTTCATTTTATAAAAGTGAACATAGCATATTATACTGGCATTCATGTTACCATGTTAGCGAATTGACTGTTTCTTTGAATCTTTGTATTTTTTCTCAATATTCATTATATCATTTCTTTTAAGGCGGAAAGGTCCATTACCGACTAAGTCGATTGGCCCATACAATGTGTACTTTTTTTCTACAACTTGAATATCTTCCTTATTAGGCCATATACAGGGTGATCCACGGTGGATGTCCTATTAGAAGTATCTGGAGCAGGAAAAGACAGAACATTCTGAAAATTGCGATTCTTCGATAATAATTGAACATTCTCTATCCATCTGAAATATTTTCATCGATACAGTGTTGCCACTTCTATCAGAAACAACTAGCAACTTTGATATTTCAAATGGAACACCCTGTATTTTATTGCATTTTTAGATTCTTTCTAAAGAGCTGATTTCATCGATGTATCACACTTGAGGTCTAGCAGGAATCATTACAGAGACATAAGGTGTTCAAAATCGAGATTTTTCAATTTTAAGATTTTTTTATGTCGAAACTATTCATTATCCATCAAAACGACTTACATGTCCCTATCTTAACTTTTGATTGACTATCTACTGGAATTTGATTGGAAAAAATACAGGGTGCTCCAAGATTCAGAATTCTGATCACCCTGTATCTGTTCCAATTGAGATAGGGACATGTAAACCGTTTTGATCAATAATGAAAAATCCTGAAATTAAAAATTCTCGATTATGAACACCCTATATCTCTGGAATCATTCCTGCTAGACCCTAAGTGTGATACATTAATGAAATCAGCTTTTCAAGGAGAATCTAAAAATTCAATAAAATACAGGGTGCTCTATTTAAAATAACGAAGTTGCTAGTTGTTTCTGATAGAAGTGGCAACACTGTATCGATGAAAATATTGTAGACGGATAGAGAATGTTCAATTATCGAAGCATTCCAATTTTCAGAATGTTCTGTCTTTTCGTTCTCCAGATACTTCTAATAGGCCATCCACCGTGGATCACCCTGTATACATATCCAGCTCCGATTTCAAAAACTTAATTCTAAAGGTATCATTTTCGAGGATCTCTAAAATACGTCCAATATACCAGGTGTCATATATAAATAGCTGCATAATACTTTTCAATGCATATTGACGTTTCTTTCTCTCCATTTGATTCTTCCTCCGAAAAACTTTCATTTTCAAATTCTGATTTCTCAGAATAGCATACGTCACTTTCACTATCCGAGGTTTCCTCAACATGATGATTCGTCGATTTTTTTGACGGTTTTTTGTTCTGTTTTTTCTTTGTGGCAGAAGAAGTGGAATTATTCATTTGACCAAGATTTTGACTTCGTGTTGACATACCTCGACAACGAATTTTTCTGTCAGATGATAGTTTCCCTTTTTTGTCAGCGAAGAACCAACATAATGTCGATTTTTTCACACAAAACTCAAACTACACTAGAGATTCTTCAAAGATTAACGTATAACCGAAAAACAACATAAAATATAATATACCTTCGTTGGTTTACCGCAAATGGCCGTATCCCCTCCATCATTGAATTCGATGAATTCCGCGATTGCGGAAGCGATTGCGAAAGCGATTGCGGGATTGCGGGATTGCAGCATATTGCAGATAGGGATTTCGGCGATTGCAAATTGACTGCGGGATTTCAGGGGATTTCAGTGACGATTGCAAGTGATTTCAGACCAAATGTACACGTATTGCAGAGAGTGGTCGCCCCCTCGCTTGAAAATTTGAAAAATATTTGTGGCTAGTATTTTGAAACTAATTGACGTATCATTTTCATATAGTTGCTGGGAAGTGTAGATACTATACAACCCTACTGAATTATAGAAAGGAACATTTCGGTCTACTACCATCAAACATCCTGTATCCTATATACCACTACTCGAGCCACTACTACTTCTACTGCTACTATACGTCTACTACTACAACTACTACTTCTACTACTACTATCTACTACTACCACTACTACTACTACTACTACTACTACTACTACTACTACTACTACTACTACTACTGTACGACCCACCCATCATTTCACATTTTGCAAGTATTAAAAAGAGAGGTTAATGCCATCCTAGTTCTAGTTGTGTAGAACTGGCTCAGCTAATGCTAATATTTTTAATAACCTCTATGACAACTGTCAACATTAAGTAAACAATCATACTTTGAACTTGGTAATGTCAGACCACTGTCATTGTGACGTATATAACGTAACATGTTGTTTATTTATCTATCCTAGTTTATACTCATGTTTTAATATGTATTAATTCCTCTCTGTCTAATAATTGCACGTCTTTTTTTCAATAGAATATTATTGTAGAAACCGGCAATAAAAGTGCGGAATTTGACGAATTTGAATCTGCCAGAATTTTAAGATTGTATTTTAGCAAGCATCCAAAAGGTACCCAGGACACCCAGTATTCTCAGTTTTATTGATAAGACTAGGATTTCCCAAATAATGGTACCTCCATATCATGTATCACATTGCTCAATAATTATTGCGACAGAATAATTATTAAATAACCGTACAGACGACACTTTCACTTTCGATACTGAAGTAACTGAGAACGGATAGGTCAGTTTGAGGAAGAGAAATGAAGGTATATAGAAAAATATCAAATTTTTACTTAGCTTTTGGACTTTTCGGGAACAAATCTGCTGCTGTTTTCAACAAGAAAAATGTATTTTTTGTATCACAAATTCGTATTTGTCCATACACTTTTCAGGAAAATTCGTTAAACGCAGTGACATTTTGGGGCAAATCATCTGATTTGTCCTTACCTATACTACACGTACATTGAAATAATATTCATATTTTTATTTCATAGAAACGAGGAGAGAAAATCCCAAAAAATCTGGAATAATGGATAGGTCAGTATTTGAAAAAAATACTGGAGATTAGAAAGGAAGTTGGGGATGTTTTTTGCAATTGATTTCACAGATCAAATAAACGACAGTATAGGAAGACTTTTCAACATGTGATGGATGAAAAAGGGACTCATTCTTCATTCTCTGAAAATATAATCACTCCCAGACAGCACAGAATATTCTATGAATATTCTGACAACGTTCAAATATACTTATTTCAGAATATTCTCGGAGAATGTTCTCAGAATGATTAAAGAATATTCTCATCCTGCAAAGAATATTCTATGAACATTCATGTTGAAATATTCTCAGAATATTCCTTCTAAATGTTCTGAGAATATTCTTTCAGAATATTGTGAGAATATTTAGAATCATATTTAAATATATGATATTAATATTCCTATTTTTGTATTAATATTTATAATGTTTACCCTGACAATACTTATTTTTCTCTCGCCTCAAGTATTATTATCCCACTAATTCAATATTGTCATCTTGCTATCCATTTTATTAATCAATGAGCTTCGTGTAGAAGTGGACAAGGTTTCTGGCTCGTGAAAATTCAATCACAAGGTAGTAGGTTTAGGAATGTTCTTAGAATATTTGAAACAGTCCATTCCGAATGTTCATAGAACGTCCCTAGAATATTTGAACCACATTGTGAGAATATTCTGAGAATATTCAAATATTCTCGCGGAATATTCTATGAACGTTTTATGAATTACATTGTGCTATCTGGGCTCATTTCTTTCATGACCACAGTCCTTTATCAAACGCCTTCTATTTGGCCTATTGTGGTTGCCAAGTGTACAACATTCTTGAACAATAGGTAAATATTTTCGCGATGAAAATAACAGTGATGAATAAGTCCATGATATCAACATGAAATATATAGACATATATATAATTTGTTGAATGACTCAAGTCAATCTTTTAACGCCCGAGGGCTGTTATGATATAATGCGAGGTTTTCCTTGAGAAACAATAAAAAACCCAAACATTAGTATTCAGTCTAGGTCAAAACTGGATCTGAAACTAATATGGTCTAACAGTTGACGCCCTATTCATCCTACTTTGATTAGGCTTTGGCATAAACAAATGAACAATCTGCAATGAAACACACACCAACTTGTTGATCTCGGTTTCGAATTGAATACAACAGGAAAACTGCATAGCTCTATGACTAAGTTAAATTTGCATTTTGACTCACCCAACGAGATATCGAGAAGTCCGCAACAGAAAAATGTCAGACAAAAAACGATCAGTCCTTCTTCCATGGTCACGATTTTTCAAAAATTGTGGATATCGAATAGCGCAACATTCATTTCAAAATTCGTCGACATATGACGCGCGCGGTTTGTATCATACTGAGCGTCACTAGAAGGCGGGATTTCTGCTGTGGTTCTATCCGGTTGGTATTTGATGGAGAAAGTGATAGCGATAGGATATAAAATGCGGTAGGTAGACGACCATTGTTACAGGCTGTTGTTCTAACATAGATTGTTCTGTGGATAACTGGACTCCAAAAAAAGGGATAAGAGGATGAGCTTCCCTTGATGACTCTGCATCTTATTTACATATTGATAGATAGATACTTCGTTCTTCCAATTAATTCAGTATATCGTACGAAATACAGGGTGCCCGGAAATTATGCGCAAAAAATCAAGGAGGTGATTCTACATGATAAAATGAGAAATTTAGTTCACATGTACGTGGGTCCGGAAATGCATAGTTTTCAACATACAGTGTGTTAAAACTTTTAAAATAGATCGGTTTTTTATGAATATCCCAAATGTCCTTCCACAGATTTTCTTGAAATTTGTCAATGATATTTTTTGTCATTAGGGGCTGATATAGCCATAATTAAATTGGAGTTATGAAATCCAGTGGCGTCCCGAGGGGCCACCTACCGAATATAATATTCAATAAAATGTACGCCACTGTTTTTTTTTAATTTTGTATCTTGAAAACCTATTGAATTGTTTTGATAATTTGCTTCATTTCTATGGAAACAAATAAATACCAATTTATTGCATAAATTTGTGTCAAAAAATTCTTTCAAAAACTGGGGTGGAAATAGATGCGTGATCTATGTCCATAGACATAGAATATAAGTATTAAGATTAATTTTCTTCAAGTATTTGTTGATACATGTTTAACACACTCTACACTCTGTATATTGAGAACTATGTATTGTCGGTCCAGGAAGGTTTAGTTTCCGATAATACAAAGTGTGTCAAACATGTATTATGAAATATTCGAACATTTAATTTCACCCCTGTTTTTGAAGCAATGTTTTGCACAAATTCGTACAATGAATTGGTATTTATTTTTTTCTACGGAAACGCAGCAAAATATCAGAACAATTCAGGAGACCAAAATGTTGTATTTTTAGTTGATCATTAAGATATAAAGATATTGAATTGATGAAAATCAATAGCGTACATTTTATTGACAATAATATTGTCACAACAAAAGAGTTGTTTTTGTTAAAAATGAATTAATAGTTTTCACTGAGTTTTTGTATGGGTACAGATGGTTTTAGCATGCCTATCTGTGTGCACTACCAGGAACGCCCCATTTGAAGATCAAACCGAGGCAGTCCAGTTTTAGCATACTGGACCGTTCGCAAATCCTGGCCAGACGTCCCATATAAAAACACATTTTTATATTCAATACTTAAAATAATGAATACTGTCTCACACGATATAAATAGATGGTTAGTCCATGAATTAATATAAATTAATAACACGATATAAATGGGGTTATCCCACCCATATCGATTTGTAGGGGTAATGCTTGGCTTAATATTTTGCGAGAGGTAATATTATAATAGGCCACTAATAGTTTAGGGATAACTGAAAGTATGAGAGTATATTCAAACGTAACAATATTTATTGCAGCATGAAACATTATGGGTGAAGTGATGATAAATAGGAATAAACAACAATGAATATAAAGACCTAATAACAACTTACATTATAGATACCATAACGACGAGCTCTTGTCAAGTCAAGAGTAGCCCCAGACCAGACTACCTCGGAACCCTCAGATCCAATATTTATATACATCATTTTATTAGAAATGCACGTTTCTCATGAGAGTTCCTTGGTCAGTTTTTATAATTCAATGTCAACGGATGATTTGATTTACTTTATGTTTATAAAACCCTCATGGTTAGAAATTACTGATATACTGTATGTTCTACTCGTGACAATATTCGGTAGGGTGCCCCCGGGACGCCACTGGATTCCACAATGCCAATTTAATTATGGTTGAATCAGCCCCTCACGACAAAGAATATCAATACCAAATTTCAAGAGAATCGGTGGAAGGATATTTGAAATATTCATAAAAAAAACGATTTTTTCTAAAAAGTTCAACACACTGTATCTTGAAAACTATGCATTTCCGGACCCACGTATATATGAAATGAAATAAATGTTTTCTCATGCAGAATCAACCCCTCGACTTTTTGCGCATAATTTCCGGACACCCTGTATAGTTATATATTTATGTATTGAGGATGAAACATTGTCTACTATAGTAGAGCCTGATATTGATAGCTGAGTATTCTGTGGCCGAGTCTAGCAATCTGGCGAGACAATATTTATTTACTGTCATCGATAAAGAACAGAAATCGCCAAGTTATCTAGAAAATATGGTAATTTTGCACTTATCATGCGATGGGTTTTTTTTCGAAAAATTTTTTTGGTACTTACGTATTTTTGTCTGAAAAACACGAATTTGATAATGAAAATGTGAACAAACCACTATTTATCGAGATATTTCAAGAAAAAGTTCGAAATTTTGCCTTCTTTTCCCCCTTGTGTTGGATGCATTTACAGGTACTTGCTCTTATTATTTTGTCATTGGACACCGCCGGGCGGTAAAGTAGTCCGCGGGCGGTAAAGTGCTACTTTACGCCCGGTCGTGCATGAAAGAATATATTGTATAGCTATGATGAATCAACAAATCACCGGATATATCATCATGGACCGAGAGAAGCGGTCCATCAGATGCACTCGTACACTCTTATTTTCATCAGTGATGTAGATGAAAAAGTGAAATTGAAATCAACTTTCATACTCATTAAACGTAACTTTCTTCCACTTCGAGTATCATCGGAAGTACGGAAGTGGAATATAGAATCCTGTATATGATGTCAACAATCATGTACTGTTCTGAGAGAGGTATGTATTTCATTATCTTCTTAAAAAAAATTACAGATAAGAACTCAATACCCCACAGCTCAGAGCGCGGCACACAAACTGAGAATCGAAAAGAATACAGCATTTATTACCCTTTACATTTCAGGCTGGTTAGTGACAGATGTGGAATATAATCTAGTTAGTTACATGATACAGTTAAGTTAGAAAATGAACAACTAGATGGTTATCATTTTATGGATGTTAAATGCATTTGAAATTCAGAAACATCATAGAAATCATTTGAGGTTAGAATTCTCTTAAAATCAGTCTTGAATCTCTTCAGAGATTTACTTTTATTGATTCGGGCAGAAAGTTGTAGAGATGACTCCCGCTATATTTCGGAGATGTTTTGTACTCCATATGATAAAACTTTTCCATATAATAGTTATTTATTATACAAGGGAAAAAAGTAGTAGATTTTAGCTCCAGGTTGTGTTGGCTCCCGACTCAAATGTCATTTTTCCTGAAAAAATAGTTATCCCGACGCGTAGCGAAGGGAGACAAAAAACCGTGAGCTAAATCTAATATTTTTCCCGTACACTTTTTTTTCTGTGACAGAAGAAAGGACGAATCAATATTGAGAAGATATTACATTATTTTGAAATCTGAAAATTATCGACGTGAAATTTTAAGTTTTAAACAGTAGGGGTACCTGCGTTGTAGGCATCTTTATCATTCTTTTGAGTAATCAAATATCTAATGTCACTTCTGTCAGTCTAATTCTGTGATTTGATTTAAAAAATTGCGAATTTAGTGGTTGTTAGTAATATACTTAACCGTGAAGTGGAATGAAAGATGAAAGGACTTGCAGTTCTTTCTCGGAGACGGTATTATTGACTCATTTATTCGGAACTATAGCACAACAAAATCCATCAACAGTGTATATATATGTAATATATATCCGGGAAAAAAGTACCCACTTTTTTCCCACGGGAAAAAGTAATTTATGAAAGTA